TTTATACAAGGATGCTCTGTGTCAGAGAGAAGCATCCAAACTGCCCTTAAGTCAGTAAGAGATGCTCATATTCGTGGCAACCAAAGGAAATGGAAAAAGGGGTGATTATTTCCTCCCCTTCATTTCTGCAGAGCAGCCCCAGGCTCCAGCAGGTCAAGGAGCAGAGGTACTGTCCACTCCTGCTCTCAGCCTGTGCCAAGGTGCTAACTCAGTGTCTGCTCCATCACTTCCTTGTACATCTGGAAAGGACATGGAAAGTCACTTTGAAACAAAAACTTGCTGACATGAACATTTGGACTTGTTTCACTCTTTATTGAAAGTTCTCACTCTCACAAGTGATTGCTGATGCTTCAGGTGTTTTTATTTAGGGGCACTGCTACACTGCTGCTGTTATTGGAAACTGTTTTCCTATAGGAGAAAACTAAATTGTAAAAACAATTACTTGGGTGGCTGTGGCAGTTTCACTGAGACACTTGGATGAGCAAAGTCCTCACAAACCAGCAGGTCCATAGCATCACACGGAGAGACAAGGAGTCAGGGAGCAAGGCCTGTCTTATTGGGACAAAGATAACAGCAGAACAAAAGGATAGAGAAGGGAAAGTCAGGACAGATGTTCCAAGATTAAATACAAGATGTGCCTGCAGAAAAGCATTAGAACATATGTAGAAGGGAATTAAAAGTGTAAATAATCTGATGCTATGTGACTTGTGCATCACAACATCTTAGTCATTTAAATACACCTAGGCATTCATTAATGAACACATTTAAGTACAAATAAGTATGTTGCAGTGTGTTCCACAGTGATGCAGCCCTAAGTGAGAGGTGTTGAGGGAGTAAGGAGGGGAGAATCACATATTTCCCCTCCTTGATTCATTTGTAGCACCACAAACCTGGTGTATGGGTGAAGTGCTAAGGATGAAGAATCACTCCCCAAAAGCACTTCTCAGCATCAGATGTTGAACAAACCCACACTGCACAAACCTTTGCACCATGGACTTTCAGATCTACTCTGCTGAAACTTTCAAGCCATATTTTTTTTTGTGATTCATGTCTCAAAGTTAATCACCTGTGTGGATTCCCATGTGTCTTGCAGGGGCTGAGCTCTCCCTGAACTTTGCTCCGCAGTGGAAATATTCTTCGTTCTCTATTTGATTATGTCCACAAACCTGTCAAACCACATCATAGCAGCTATCTGCCACATTTGAGTGAACCTGGCAAACAAGCCCTGTGGGGCCTGACAGACAGTGACATTGCCTAAGCTTTGTCTCCTTTGAAGCCATAAAACGAAGGGGAGGGTGGGGGGAAGCCCAGGGTAGAATAATTCTGCTCTGTAGTACAGCATTCACCACAGGGCTGAGACACTTATCTACAGAGCACTAAGCTCAGAGCTTTGCTAAACTGAGCATGGCTAAATTACAGAGGGGAAAGTCACTTGAAAGAATGTGAAAAGAGAAAATTCAATAGGAAAAAATAAAGATTAGTAAGCTCAGTCATTTATCCACATTTCCTACACCAGGATGTGATGGAGGAGTGTTTGTAGGTACATGTCCATCCTGCAGTTCTTACCTGCTCAGAATGAATCCCAGATCTGTAACTCACCTATGGAATGTCCTTCCAAAATATGAAAGGAAAGCTACTGCACAGCTCTGACTCCCAGTGACACGAGCACATGTGTTTCATGTGAGTAGACAGAAAGGAAACGTTGTATTTTGTAATTGCTCCTTGGCTTCCCATGCAGAGACTGTAAAACCAGGTTACTTTATCCAGCCCACCACAGATAAGAGGGTGCCAGTGCTTGCTGTTTATCTGCTGGCTTCACACCTGGGTATGGTTTTGCAATCTTTAAAAATACTTGAAGTTCTCATAAAACAAATATACTTGAGATAAAACTGCCATCTAGGCATTTGCTACTGAGGGTTTCCCAAAGGAAAAGGGCTTAGCAGCATTTCTGAGACTATATTTCAAGTCTTCTTTATGTCTTCTCTACACACTAAACACTCTATCCCCACTTAAGTTTAGCAACAAAAAAATTCGTAATACAAAAGTATTTTCCGTTTGTATTGCAGATATTTCTCTGTAAATTGTTTGAGGGGAAATTACTGATCATTCAGTAATCTTGAACTCTGTTCTTCAAGTGGCATATTTGTGTTTTAAATAACACATTAAGAGATTTTCTACCTGATGGCTAAAAATCCATTAGGCTGCTCAGGGATTCACATCCATTTGTGAGCAGAGGTGCTCTGTGGTGAATTCATTCAGTAATAACACAACTCACAAACAAAACCTTCCCTTACAGAAACATGAAGATCTTAAGAAAACAGGGTCTCTGTCCCCTCTCCAGGCAGGGAGTGTCCTCTTCCACGACCTTCCCAAAGCCCAAGGGGGAGAGACTTTGCCAAAAAGACCTACAGTTAGACACAAGATGTGGACAGAGCTTGGCGTGACCACTGCTCTTTCTAAATGGTCTAAACACATTTAAATTACAAGGAGCCACCGAGTTCCTTCAAAGATGTGTCTGCCTGTTTCTGGCCAGAAGGGCCTGCATTAGTCTCCAAATTACCCTGCTGTCAGCTCATCTTGTCATCTACTCTGCAGCTCAGCTTAAGAACACAAAATGATACTGGTCACAGCAGAGAAACATCTGTGTGCACAAGGCTCTCTAAACACACCATGCCTGTCTGCTCACTGACCTCTTCATCAGCTCCTTTATTAACCTGCCTTGATTTTGGCAATGTCCAGCCACTCCAAGCTACAAATTACCTGCTAGAATTCAATCACAAACTGTTTTACTGTAAGTACATTCTATTGTGGAAAGTGTCTTAAGGCTAATAGTTTTACTTGCTGGCTTTGAGGTCTGCAGATCATTTTAGTCCCATTGAATAACAACTCTCCTTGGGCAAGACACTTCTGCCACGAAGGGCCAAACATTTGTGTCATTTTACCATTTCAACTTCCACTCCAGAGAGACTCCAAGCACAGCATAGGAACCACATTCCCAATTTGGATGTAATTAGCTCAGTACTACCCAGCATTGTACGAACAACATTTACCTTGCTCCAGGACTCCCAACACTGTGACCGTGGCCAGCAGGTCTATCTGATCCCTCATGGTGCTGACGGAACAAACCCCAGCCAGGTGCAGCTGTGCCCCAACACTCTGTCCCACCCTCCCACCACCACACACTCTCCAACAGAGCTGCCTTATTGCTCTGAGCACAGGTGTTTCCTCCACCACACCTTAACTCACCTTAACTCTCTCCACACCAGTTTTCCAAAGCAGACAGCCACCAGGAAATGGCTATTCCAGCCAAGTGCCTTTTGCTGAACGATGCAACAGCAAAAATTTTGCATGGGCAAACCGTGAAATTCTTCTAATTATATTTACAGATTTCGTGCCACAATTGAATTATACATTGCCAGCAATAGAGAGATGATGGAATTCTTTCCAGGCCTTTTGTTGCTAGTTTTAATGATGTCTGAAGCATCTCAATGATGTGTGAGGTCGTAAAAATTATTAACAAGCATTTACAAATTAATGGCTTGACCTTCTGCTCTTACTGAAGGAAGTGGAGTTGACCACGTGAAAGATTTGCTGCACTCCAGCTGGAATAACTTAATTCTGTTACCAGAGTCTGTAATTTAAAAGAGCATTCAGATATTTTATCCTACTAATTACATCTCTAAGTTTACAATTTAAGAGCACAGTTCTTTTCCAGCACTCAGGCACTTTCTATAGTTTTCTCTGTTTTTAAGATTCTGCTAACACAAAATAGAAGTTCCCAGTTCCAAATGGGATGCAGCAGAGGATGGAGAAACACACAGACCCTCTGCAATGTTACACTGACATCAGAGCTACAATGGTGAAATGGACAATCTGAAACACAGCAATAGTTTAGCCCTGAATGAGTCTTCTCCCCACGCCACAAAAGTGAAATATGCCTCAGTTCGAAAAGTTATCTTGTGTTTTAGAACAACTTGATATGGCTGACTACTCTGATTTTGAAATCTTTTAAATCAAAAAAGGAGAAAAAAGGTATAATTCATTATCAGCTAAGGCTTTCCCTTAACGTTGGTGGAAAGGGCACAGGACATGGCTGAGCCACTGCATTTCTCTCTGTAGTCACACACACAAACCCTCAGTACAGAACTTTGCACATCCCAACAAGAAGTGACCAGACCCATAGTTCCTCCCGAGTGGGACACTGCAAGTTTTTTTGTTCTGGTTTGGCTCTTCATCACCTCAAAACCCCATTGCGACACCTCATCAAGTTGAAAACATCAGTTAATTACTTCAAATGTCCAATAGTATATTTTTTTGTAAAAAAACCCCAGGCATATAGAACAGCAAAATCACCCCTTTTCTCTATAAAACACTATGATGTGACCTCAGACCCTCCAAGGTACCAGCAGACTCAGACTGAAACAGAAATAAAACAATTAACCTTAACTGAACCTACTGGCGACCCAAGATTTCATCTGGGGTGTTCAGGATAAAAGTCAGGGCAAAATGTCACCAGGAGTGTTTCTGCTTGTGTCATCAACAAACAATTCAGGCTTGAGAGAACATTTCCCTGACAGATTTTCATTCGTCTCAGAAAAAAACACAAGCATCAAGGGAAGAAAAAAAATCAAACCGGTTTCTGAGCAAAGGCTGGTCACAAGCTGCCACTGACTCCTTAAAATCTCTGGTAAACCACACGTGGCACTGCAGTGGGGGATGGTTTGGGAAGCTTCTGCTTCACTCAACAGCAACTAAAATGCAGCATTTCTAATGAAAAACAAAAAGCACAAGTTAATAAAGTAATAACTTCACAGTTCCCCATGGGCTAAAAGCAGCTGAGCCTGGTACTGTGACTCACTATTGCATTTGGTTCTTTATAAGCTTCTGAAGTTACAGGTTTCCTCCTCCCCCAGACACAACACAGAACTTGTAGAGTAGGAATACAGTAAAAATAGACTCTGGTAAGTCAGGATGCTGTGAGGAAACCTGAAGGCTTAGCTGGGGCCATAAACAGACCAACTACAGAACACCAGACACCAACCTGAACACTTGGAGAATGATCCTTCAATGTCTGAAGCTCTGCAGTGGCTCAGAGATCTCACCAGCTTTACACCAGCATCTCCACACACCTCGAGCCACACTTTGCTCCTTGTTCGGGTGCATTAACTCATGCTTGGAGAACTGTTCCCATGTCTGTCTGATTTTTGTGTGTGCCATCAGCCTACATCAAGACTTGAGGAAACCAGTTTAACCCTCTGTTGTTTTTAAGGGAATTGGCCTGTTTTTGGAACTCTACAATTCTGCACCTGAGGTCTCGGTCGCTGTTAACATCATTTTCACTAGGAACAACTTCTTTACTTTCACTAGGAACAACCACCTCATTTCCCAGCTCAAGGCCTATGACTGCACTCCAAAGCCAAAGAGCCCAGCAGCAGTGGGAGCAGCACAAAGCCTCATTTCCAAAGTAGTTTTCTAAGGGCCCTTTATCCAGCTCTGCCCTGTTTAAATGGACTGTATGAAACTAAGAATTGCTAAGACAGCAGCAGAACTAGGGCCTTGGCTGACCAAAACTGTGTTGGGACGAAGGGAAGGAACCACCTCACTAGGAATGACAACACTGAGCTCTGCTCAGCACACACAAACGTATGAAGTCACACCATGTTTAATACACTAGCAAAATATTTATTTTATAATGATAAAACAGAAGTGAAGGATTTCTTTTTGGTGTGCACCAGTAATTGTAGTAAAAGAATAAGGGGATTAATGGACTCTTTATACATTTCAATGACAAAAAATTCATAAAGGTTAGCATCAAATTCAACTGTTCTCCATTTACAAGCATAAAACTTACCATAATACCCCCCAAACACATATATAAAGAATTATAGTTTTAAAATCTATAAAAAGTAAAAAATATACAGTCAGAAGATCTAACTCTTATTCAAATCTTTAATATAAAATTGTAAACATTTATTTACACAAAGGAAATGTGTATCACAAAATTTCGAGCACCCTTTTCAATTGAATGGTGGTTTTTGGAAGGCAGTGGATGTTGCACAGTGACACTCTCACCTTGCCTGCCCAACCCAAACCGCAGTCCATAAATAAAGCTGTGGGTTGGGGTCAGCTCAGGGGAGACACCTTTTATTGCTCTGAAGCTGCAGCAAGTGGAAAGCTCGAGTGCATATAGAGGCAGCGACACGTTCCAGGGCACAGGGCACTGCCCAGCCCTTCCCATGCACCTATGTACAGCCAAACTGCATTTCATTTCCATTGAACTGTTCCACCCTTGTTACAGTGACACCACACTCCCAACGGTCCCATCGAGTTACATGGACAGGGGCCAGAGCCAGAAGCAAGGGCTGCTTGGATCCTGTTCACATATGGAGACTGATGGGCACTATAAGCCAGTTTGCCTAGAATCCCACTTAATTTTGCTCCAACAGTACCATGGAGAGGCCCTGTCATCCAACCCAGATACCTTCCTGAACAAACCTCTGGTCAAGCAGGGCAATATCCACCTTCGCTTCCAGAAACAGTGGAGGAAAGAGCACATCTGCATTTTCCTGGACATTTAGCTGGATTGCCTTTTTGGTAGTCATAATGCAAACAGCAGATGTTCCTTTCCTCCAATTAAGAAATCACAACTGGATGGATTGTATTTTGAGTTACTCAGAACATAATCTACTGGAAAACGCAGCAGATTTCACCACAACCTAAACAGGGAAGAAAGAAAAGCTGAATTCTACTACCCTGTTATTACTGCTAAGTGTTTGTAAGGGGGAGAAAAAAAGAGTGACACTGAAGGATGTCACTTGAAATTGAGGTCCCGAGCACCCCCGACATGAAGGGAAGGCACACTGGTGCAAAGAACTCTTAAAAATAAAAATACAGCAAACACTCCTTCCCCTGCCATTGCTAGTTTATATCTATACTCTTCTAATGACACTTACCTTAGACCAGGTTTTGGTTTCCTTTAACAGCAAACCAAGCTCACTAGCTCTTTTCTTAGATTGCCAGTACAAGAAAAGTTAGCATCAGTTATTTGCATCTCAACTACTTACTCTAGTAAATATCAGAAGTGTCAACAACCAGAGTCACTAACACCTTCATCTTCCCACCCAAAGACAATCTTTATGCTCTCATTCCAAAGCTCTCTGAGGGACTGAGTCTGCTCCAGTGATGTTGTATCCACTGTTTGTGGTGGGATCCACTGATCATCGAACACACCAACAGTTCAACGTGGGACAACAGCAAATCTGACTGACAGAGTGGAATTCATCCACACTAGGTAAGTGTGCTGGACAAACCATGTTCCATGCATATTTGGAAAGGGTTAAAGTATTAGTGTTCAAAAAAAGCAGTTTTTAAAAGTGCAAATTGTCTCATAAAGGAGCTGCGGATACAGTAAAATATTTTCCTTCTTTGAAACCAATCTTATCTTTCACTTCCCTTCACCCACTCTGGAAAAAATCCTCTCTCACACACCTCTGCAGGGCAGAAAGCTCCTACAGAAACCTGTCTGTGTTGAAGGAAATTGCTTTTAAATCACAATGCTGGGTTTGGTTAGAAAGTTTAAAGGAGTTTTCCAAGAAAGTGGATTTAGAAAGGGAAGAGGTATTTGTGCATTTAAAACAAAAGCTTTCAACTTTATTTTCATTTTAAAATAAAGGTTAAGGCAAGGTGGTTTGGTGGTGGATAAGGGATTTTTTTTTGGTAGAAAGTAAGGACTTTGGAACACTGACTGTTCCCACTGTGGTTTTTGTCCTTTCTGGGACCAACCCCAACACATGGATAAAAGGTCTCCTTGGGCTGAGCTGAAGAATCAGCATCTGCTTCAAGGGATATTAAAGAAGTAAATCCACCAATCTAGAGAAAGATTATCAAACTCGTAACCCACTATTAAAAAACCAAAGTATTTAAAGGGGGAAACTTCCACATTGGAGCAACCCTGATACAAGCATTCCCCAGGCTGCCTGTGCTGTTATTGCTGATAAGGACCTTCCACCTCTCAGCCAAACTCTTTTTTGTCCTGAAATCACAAAGTCTTGTGCTCATTACGTCATTGCTAACTTCAGGGAATGAACTGATCTCACGAGTTAGTTTTACTTTTTACAACAAAGAAAACTAGATGAGCTGTCATGAAGCAAAGCCTTCATTTAAATACAACTACCTTTGGAAATAAGTTATGAAGAAACAGGTGCAAAGGAAATGGCTTTACAATTCATGTTAAACCTACTATAGTTTAAAAGTTCTCCCATAAGAAATTCCCCCTTTAAACACAGCAAGGGACAAGCCAAGGACTGTGCCTCTACAACAGAGTGCAAACTGCAGCTTAAAAGACTACAATCTATGAAGATGCCTACCTAGACTAACTGGCCAGGTTTTAATACTTTCTCTCATCTATTACCAGCATCTAGAAATATTGACTGTGAGATATCACTTGCTGAGAGTACAGGCACATGCTTCAGCCACGGGGAGAAGGAACAATTCCAGACATTTTGCAGGTGTCCTCAGGTGCACACAGCCTCTCCTCAGACCACAAGTCAGAAGTTGGATGGACAGGACTACACCAGCACATCACACCATCAACAAATAATTATTGCAAGTAATAGCTGCAGACTAAGCCCTAAACACGATTTGTGCAACTATCTGCTTTCTCTCTGCACTATTTCTGTGGAATTTTGTTTTAAATAATTAACAAATTTAGTCTCAGAACACTGTGAGGGAGATTTCTGAAAGGCTGGCTAGGACACAGTATCTTTTGACCTGCTCAAAGACTCCTCAGAGACCCCAGACAGAGCACACTCCTCCTGCAGACCTGCCTGGTGCACCATGACCACGTGCCAACACTCATGAAGAAGCAGCTCCAGTCTTTTTCCCAACCATTCACCTCTAATGCCTGTAAGTCTCCTCAATGCCACAGGTTTTTTGGTCCAGGTATTGTTTATATCTCATAATTAACAAAAGCAGAACCCCCACCCTCGGCCCCATTTTAATGAGTTCCTAACAACTCGTCTAGATCGTTCATCCACTCCTCTGAAGTCCTGTTTTTCAGCAAAGAGTCTATCAGATCTGTGTCACCAGTTAAGTTCTGAAGTCCATTATTGCCCGACTGGCTGCTGTAGGCGAAAGGCAGTTCCTGGCTGGTCGTCCTCACAGGGTACCCTTGGCTACAGTGCAGGTTACCTCTGTTGGGCATTTGCTGATTTGGATTCTGGTTGAAAGCATTCAGATCTGGAACAGTTTGGTTCATGCCAGGCAAGACTTGCTGTGAGGGTACCTGCTGCTGTGTGGGTGGGTTTGTCCGCTGCTGTGCACCTAAAGATGAGGACAACATCTGCCCAGAGACAGCAGCATTCATGGAGGTCATGGGCCTGCTGGTGCTTAGGCTTACCTGAGGCATTCCTTGGGCAAACTGCTGGTTGGCCATCTTTAGATGTGTTTGCTGCATGTGGAAAGAGGAGTTGGCAGTAAATGGTCCTAAGCCACTGTTTGCTTGCGTCTGGTTGTTAATATTAGGGATACCTTGGTGTTGCCAAGATGGATTTTGAGCCCCCATAGCAGCTGGCACTCTTGCCATCTGTGGCTTAGATAAGGTTGGATTCAGTGCACCTTTGTTGTGCTGCTGAGAAATACTTGAGTTTGCTAAGGTGTTCTGCCCATAGCCAGCAGGAACAGCAGCACCCTGACCCAAGCTGCCTTGTCTCTGCATGGCTGGCTGTCCGTTGGCACTCGGCGCCGCGTGCTGGGGAACCATCTGTGCCATGCCAGGTGCCAGGCTGTACAATCCCCCACGCTGCATGTTCTGCAGATTGCTGTACTGAGTCACCCCTCGGTCCTGCTGGCTGGAGCCCGACTGGAGTGGAGGAACAGGAGTGTGCCCAGGTCCCATCTGAATCATGTTCTGGGTCTGAGGAAACATCCGTGGACTACTGGAGCTGGACTGTCCCAAGTTACTGACCCCAGGCATGGCTGGAGATGACCCTGAAATGCAAAGAAATATTTTGTGTGTTACACCCCTCAGTTCACTCAGAGCCAAGCCAGGTCTGTGGCCATGATAACCCAGAATGGAGGTGCAGCTGCACCTGTATAACCCAACACACAGACAGCAGGACTTTAATTAAAGTGTCAACTGCTGCTCCAGTTAGCACCTCCAGCTTGATCTCAAACACAGATATGTCAATGTCCTCAAAAAATCTGAATACCACTTCTAAGAGTTCAGCATCATCAATTTAAAAAGAAATTAAGACTTCAAAGACAGGACTCTGATATTTCCTTGTGAACAAAGGTAAACATACACACTTTGAAGTGCATGCCCAATTTGCTAAGCTGTTAAAAACCACCACTTACTGCACACACTGTCAGTCATTCCATGCACACACTGTGCATCTCTTATTGTCCAGCTGTAGGGTTGCCAGTCCTGCATTTTCCCAACACCAGGAATTTATTGTAGGTATATAATATAACTTCTAGAAATTTTTGGTCAAGTACATCCTGGATTTCCTCTGTGAAATATTCCCTATTTTGATATGCAATGCTGATAACCATTTGCAAAAATGTCTTCTCAGCACTCCAAAACAAGTCCTTTGTCCTTGTAAATTCTGAGTTTAGAAGTTTCTTCCTGCAGAAGAAACAGCTCCTACTTAAAGCAAAAAAACCCAAACACACCAAAAAGCACTGGAAGTGGATTGCATACAACACCTCACACTCCTTACAGCTGACCAAGGGAAGTACCTACATTAGTACCTTCCCTATTTTCAAACCAAAAAGCAAGCTGCAGAATTTTTCCATATTTTACAGCAGCTGAGGAATACTGGCTCTGTGCTATTAGCATCACCTTTGAATAAAAATGGAATTATCAACAATAAATTCAAATAGCATTCAAATTGTATTGCATCAACAAAGCACACCACAGAAACACCAGTGCTGGGGGTGGATGGGTGAGGGAAGAGTCTTAGTGTGAGAACACTTACAGTGAAGAGGTACTCACATACCAGGATTTAATGTGCAAAAAATAGCCACAATCATCATTACAAGGAAAAAAATAATTTTAATAATACTGATGTTCATTAGAGCAAAACCTACTCTATTTCTAATAGTTGTACTACTGTGGTTCTGCAGAAAAGAGGCAAGAGGAAAAACATTCCAGTGCAGTATTTGAAGGATGCCCCTGATCCCTGTTAGCACACAATCCTCCTGCACTGGCATCGAGTTTTCTCATTTGAGTAACAAAACCCACTTGCAGCTCTACTAGACACTGCAAAGTAACAAACACTGCCAGGATGAGGCTATCACATTGCCATTTGCATCTTTCCCCTCCAGTATTCATTTCTGCAGGAACATAGAGAGCAAGGAAACAAAAAGAAGGGAATTGGCACTTTTTTGTGCTCTAGGTTTATGAAAATAAAAAAGAAGTCAAGTAAGGATTTTTTAGGTAAGGAGATGAGGTTTTATTGTTCTCTAGTTCTTCCACAATTTTTAAGCTAGCCCAGCTTCACAGTTAACATCATCTTTTATTTATCAGAGTTAATACACTCTAGACATACCAAGCTGCTTCTTGTACAAAAAAACCCAACATGTAGGACTCTAATATGTAATGAAGAGAATTCCAATTGCATTCCCTTCTGAAGGCAGTAGGATAAGAATGTCAGAGAATTTTAAATTCATTCTTGTAGATGAGAGAAATAACATACCACTTATTTTTCTTTACTGAGGGCCTGTGATAGATACAGGCAATAGTAATGTCAAGCTTCAAGAAAAAAAAACAAACACCTGAGTTCTAATATATGAAAGCTAAGGAGAATTTACAACCTGTAAAAGGAAACAGTATAAAAAGGCCTTTAGAACAATGAAGACACTTAAGAACTTTACTTTTTTCCAAAACCACATTAAGAATCAGAAACTTAAGTTGTCCCAGGTATCTGGGGCAGGGGAAGCTGTTAATTTGCAACTGAATCAGAGTACAGGTCAAAAGGTTTGAAGGCACAGTGACGTGGGAAGGTGCTCTAATAAATTAATTAAAAGCTATCCAACCCAGGAAATTTGAAGACACCTTGTTTTCTACTCCTGATATTTTTTCTGCCATTCTTTCAATTGCCAGGTTTACTCACCTGTGAACTGCCCAACCTGCTGCTGGTAAGGATTCTGTGGCTGGTCCTGGTACTGGGGAGGAGGCCGAGTCAGGTGTCGCTGCAGCTGCTGCTCCTGCTGCTGCCGCTGCTTCTCCTAAGGGAGCCCAATGCAGCACAGTGAGAAAACAAGTCAGGCTTTTTCCAAGGGCTACCTCGGACACAAACAAGCTGGCTGTATGCTTTTATGAAAATCACAGGGGTTTCTGTGGCCTTAATGTCACTTCAGACCTTTGTTCTCAAGGCTCAGTCAATTTAAGGTGATGAGTGACAAGACCAGGAACCCAGAGACAGCAGCACGTACCACGGGGGTTATTGCAGTGCATGTCTGAGGCCTTTCAAACTCTGAAAATCTGTTTGTCTTTTAATCAGCAATATAATCAACAGGCATTTTCAGCAATACTCTGGAGACAAAGAGGAACAGATACAAAAAGAGCAAAACCAAATAAAAATCAAACATACTTTTTTGCTCTTTATCCCCAAACCAATTTATTTTACACCTCTTTTTAGAAATCTATAAAAGTACAAGTCAGAAATAACAATACTACACAGAAAAGCAAAAGCTGAACATGTAAATATTTTCTAGTCCTTGTTTGCAAACATGAGAAAATACACACAAACCCAAACTCTTATATTTTCTGGATGATTATGGAAAGCTGCAGAACTAAGTCTAAACCAGAAGTCACTCACACTGCACTGATCAACTGAAACAAACCCTACTCATGGCACAAAGGAATTGTGCCTCTTACAAGCACGTTCAATCTCTACCTATTTATGACAAAACCATTTGAAAAATTAACCAAGCAGTTTTTCTATCAGGAAACGTTTGGAGAAAATGAAATTTAAAGCCTCGAGGTGAATGTGGACACACTAATAATACACTCAGACCTCGACAGCAAAGAGGCTGCTTTTACAGTCTGAAACATATCAGCACAGTATTTCTGCTCTTTTTCCAGATACCTTCAGCCACTGAAATTCTGAGACAATACACAACTACCTACTTATCCAAAATGTCACACAGAGGGCAGAAGGGCATAAAGTCCCTTCTGAGAGTACTGGGGTAAAGACAGGAGCAAGAAACCCTCTTTAAAGAAGAGACTACTAACAAACTGCAGATACACATCACCACCACCCTCCTGAAAGGGCTGCAGCTGTGGAGCTGTTGAGACATGCAGAGGAATGAACAGGACAGGCTGCTTGACAGAGAGGACCTGCTGCTTGCAGGACCAGTCAGACCTGAAAGAGGCTGACCACGGAAGCCAAGTAGAGATGCCAGAGCTCTGAGAGAACCCAGCACAGCACAACACAACTTGGGGGGGAAAGAAAATTTAGAAAACTGAGAAAAACATGCAGATACCAAATGCAAAGACAGCTCTGGAGTGGCAGGGAAGGGCACTGAAGCCACCTGAAACTCCAATTCTCCAGCACAACAGAGATAACAGACTCAGAAATCTTTCTGCAAAACTGCACCCAGTATCGTGTATCCAAAGAAATAAATATCAAATTAGAATGCTAACAAGCTCCAGCTTGAGTGGGCAGCACAAAGCCAACAAATGTGGCTGTTGGGCTCCAAAGCAAAGCTGCTCCTTATTTGGGATGAGAGTCCCAGCATCACTATAAAAAGATGCAAGTTAGAGGCCAGTTGTAGTTACCATAATTAGGACATGAAGTATTTTCCTAATATTGGTATTTACTGCAGCAACTTGTGGTGGTTAAGCAGAAGCAAATAGGTAGGGAAAAAATACTCATCACTGTGTTTGAGCTATGCCACTGTTACTGCACCAACCCACTGTTCAGAGAGGTCTGACACCTGTTAGGTCCATTACTGAGCTAAGGAAACCTTCTGGGCCACAGCTCCAGAAGCTCCAAGAGAGCTCTAATAATCACCATCCACCAGAGATACAAAGCACAAGCAGCAGGTCACACCCCACATTTCCTTTCTCCCCACCTGCTCTCAAGGAATACCTGTTCATTAACATTTTTGGAGAGTAACAATTAGTCATCTTTGACATTTGATATTAACATGCAGGTTAATGATGATTGATTTATTACATTTCATACAGAAAATATTATTTTATTGATGATTTGGGAATTCTCTTTCAGTTTTTGATAATGTCATTCCCCCACAGCATTTCCTTAGTTCAACTTGTTTTTACCCAAATATCAAAACCATAACCTTACCAACACTCCTACAATTTTCCACAAAAGATTGCCAACCACATTACTATGTTTTATCTATACTGGCTCCAGAACTGAAGGGGCTTTTATGTCACCTTAATCAAGTCCTCAATTTTAATGGATATCTCCAGGTGATAAAAAAGCCATTGGCTAGGACTTGGCACAGCCACAGCTCCATGATCCTGCAGATTCTATTCCACCCTTCCACCCAAAATGGGCCTTCATATACTTTCAGTTCAGAGGAGACTGTCAGTTCTTTCTTGACGCTTCTGATGGACAGCTGGTGCAGGGAGACCTTAGAGCACCTTCCAGTACCTAGAGGGGGCCTACAAGAAGGCTGGAGAAGGACTTATCCCAAGGTCACGTCATGATAGGACAAGGGGGAACAGCCTTAAGCTGAAGAAGAGAAGATTTAAATTAGATATTAGGAAGAAATTCTTCCCTGTGAGGGTGGTGATGCACAGACTGCCCAGAGAAGCTGTGGGTGCCCCATCCCTGGAAGTGTTCAAGGCCAAGCTGGAAGGGGCTCTGTGTAACCTGTCTAGTGAAGGTGTCTCTGCCCAACATGGTGTAGTGAAAGGTGTCTCTGCCCATGGCAGAGGGCTGAAACAAGGTTATCTTAAGGTCTCTTCCAACACAAACCATTCTGTGATTCTGAAACACCAAATGCTGTTTCATGCACCAAAGCAAATCAGCACAATTTAAAACCAAACTGCTGGCCCCTCTCACCTGTTCTGCCAGCAGATGCTGCTGCCTCTGTTCCATTAGGAATTGCTGCTTTTGTTGCTCCATGAGCAGGTGCTTTTGTTGCTGCTCTCTCTGCTTCTGCTGGTCCATCAGCATTTGATGTTGCTTCATCACTGCTGCTTGCTGCTGATTGCTGAGATAAGCTGAGCTGCTGTGGTTACCTGCCATGGAGACGTTTGGAGCCTGGGCACCCACACCAGGGCCCGGAACAGAAACTGGAACGCGAGGAACGTTAGTAGAAGGGTTTTGATCCTGCAGGATATAGAGAAAGTGACACAAGTTACAGAAATGCAGTAGCTTCTTCACTTGTGAAGCTTCTAACAGAAGTTCAGCTAATTAAAGACAGCCAAAACCCCATCTATGAAGTGTCAGGCACAGAACTGACAGTTTGGAGTTAAGTTCAGAAGCTCTCTAACATTTAGGCACAGAGGCTTTATTTTCAGTCTCAAACTGCTTCCCAAATTCCAACACAAACAGGTGAGTATAGCTCTGTGGGCTTCTGCTCAGCCAGTTACAAACAGCACTCCAAACAAACCAGCTTCAGTTTACTTTGGTAGTAACTTTCCAAACACTAAATTTTAAACTTTCATTATACAAACCATTTATTTAAAACCTGCCTCTTCTGTCAATACTTAATTCTCCAAGTGTTTATGTCTCCACTCCTAAAGTTGGGTGTTTTTTTAGTATCTAGAGTATTTACTATTTGCAGGTGAAGGGGGGGAAGCTTTAACTGGCCCAAATGGGTCTTAATGTACTTTTCCAGCAATCTAACCATCACCAGATTCCACAGACAACAATACTACTAGAGATAAGCCTAACATTATCAATTTTTGTAAGTCTGCAGTGTCGCAAGAAATCATGAGCCAAATACAGGCCATGCTGTGCTAAGTTGTTCCATGTGGAGGCTTTTGAGAGATTCTCCAGAAGCATTCACCAGAATCTGTCAGTTCAGAGCAAGCATGGCAGAGCAGACACAACGTCACCCTCGTGTTCCTCCGTGAGGGGAGATGTGATGTACACGATCATCTCTACCCTTCCCCTTCTTCATCCATTACAATGTTGTTAGATTGTTACTTCTGCCAACTTCTAAAGAGCTTTTTTGTACATTATGAAGCACTTATTGATCTCAATTTTTTATTTGTGTATCAGTGTGGTCTTCACCACAGACTAATCAGATCTTTTTCACAGTTTATTTTGTTTTGCTGAGGGAACATATGACTAGAGTTGGATCTCCAACAGCTTTTGCTGGAGGAGCTTTAATCCCTTTAACAAAGACCTTTTTTCTCACCAAGCCCTCCAGTATGGGCATTGCAGGCACATGTTACAGAAGCCCAAAGAGCCTATACTTCCACCCACTACACACATTTTCACCTGCAGCATACCTGTAGTATCAGTGATATGTAAGGCAAAGAAGCACCACCTGGAATTTCCATTTACAGGGAAACCTGAAGCATATGCTTCAAGCAGACAAATATTACTATTATTCATTCTTAATTATGTATTTCTCTCCCATCCCACGCTTTCCCAATCCTCAGAGACTCAACCAATAACAAATTCTTAGAAATTAAAAGCCCCAAGGAACACCCAAGAAATCAGGAATGCAACCCCCACTTCCACCTCTCCTCTAAAGCAGGTCTTTTTATAGTAAGCCAACTCTGACACAAGTAGAGACTAAAAACAGGGTAAAGAAATCAAAGCTTCTTTGAGAACACTGTTTAACACTACAGTTTTGTATGAGTTATTTTAGTCAAAAGTTTACAAAGCATCTATTTATCTTTGTAAGTAGAAGCTTATGTGAAGTGTGACATAATTTGTTGCCCACAAAGTATATTAAATTGGAAATCACACGTTACCACATAACCTAGAACCCAGAATTTAAAACTGTCCCCAGTGGGGAACAGACTTCTTGATTCTTATCTCAGCTTATTGCGTATTGTAACTTAAAATCAACAAATAAATTTGAAACGATACCAAGGAATCTGTCCTTTAGCCTTACCTATCCACCAACCTTAAATCTGCTACTGAACAAAGGTAACCAACCCCAGGACATTCACCTGACCGTGTGGCAGTCTGTAGGCAATGTTTCCAGACTTGGGTTTCAACAGGATCATCCCGTTTTGGTCATCACTCACATGGGACAGCGGTGGCTGCTGGCGCTGCTGGATGTATGCCAGCATGGGAGTCTTGCTCTGCCCTGGCACTGTGACCCCCGGCTCACATTCTGCTTTGTAATGTGAAAGGGGTTTGGTGTTCCCATAGTCTAGCATAGAACCTTGACTGTTCACAGGGTTCTGGTTCAAGCTGTTTTGCTGATGACCCAAAATGTTCACATGGTAATTGCCTCCAGCTCTCGGTGAGCTTTTATTTCCCATGTTAGGCATCATGAGTTTCTGATTGCCAAAGTCTGGCGGATAAACTGATGGGCTAGTGGGATTTTCCATGGTATAGGGGACAGCCAGTGGACTATGAGAAGGCCCAGACTGTTGCCATGTAGACATCTGATTTGTTTGGTGGACTTGTGATGCTTGTTGCTGGTTCTGCAACATCTGATCTCTCTTCTGCTTGGCAGCAATCTGCTGAAGTTGATGAGCAGAAGACATTTCTTTGGCACTTACTGCACCCTTCCCAGGTAACAACACACTGGGGAGAGGCCTCTGGACGTTCTGAGAGTGGTTTGATGCCTGCATCATGGGCTGATTAGAATTTTCAGTCATTGACTGACTGGAAGGCTGGAACATAGCCTGAGAACTACCAACTGCTGGAGAAGCAGTGCTCACAGGTACTGAAGCAGCACTAATAAATGCTGAACCTGAAGAAGTGGATCTAACCTGGGGAGATCCCAGCTGCTCTTGCTCAAAGGGTGCTGGGGAAAACTCAGTCTTTATGTTAATATCTTGTGGCAATGGAGTCTGTGCAGCTGAATTTGAAGAATCTGCATCTTTTTTCTCTTCGAAGTCTTCGTTAAAGAGATCCTTCATGTCTTCATCGGGCACTGATCTATTAAGCTCCTCAATAAGTTCCTTCCATTCTTGCTCATTTAGATTAAGATCAGGCATCAAGTTATTCTGAGATATAGATGTCCCTGTTCCAGCAATCACACATGGAAGATCATCATCTACAGGCTCCTGCTTCATCTCTTTGTTCAAACTCAGAGGAAATGAGTCATCAGCATCACCACCTCCATTCATCTGCAGGCTGGAATCTGGAAGACACTTCTTGCTGATGCCATCCAGCCCCATGGGATGCTTCCCGTTCAGCTGCAAGGTATCTCCATTGGCAGATTTCTTGTCAAGGTGATGGAGTGGAGACACAGGGGGCATTCCGTTGGAAGAACCACCCACTCCAAGACCATCCTCACGACGAGGTTTCTTGGACACAGAAAACACATCACCATAGCCATTCTGCTGGTCTCCATTCTGAGGGGAAGCAGCACTATCCAGCTTTCTTTTCACAGTCTCATGGAGCTGCTGAAATGAAAAAGGAACATTTTAGTTATTTAGCTCCATGTTTCACAGATTTGGATTTTTATTTTGTACCAGAACATTGCCTAGCTCTGAATGAATCATTTCAGAAAAAAAAAAAAAAAAAAAAAGGTTAAATCATTGGTTTTACAAGTGATCACATGAGATGACTTCCTCACTGTAATCTCTTAGGGAAAACTTTCAAAAACACCTGTACTACATCAAACTGAGATCCTCCTTCAGACAAAACTAAAAGCTGCCACATACTCTGTCAATAACAAGAAGTAGAGAAAAGGCTGTGAACTGAAATATATTAGGATCTTTCCTGTTCAAAATGAAAAAAATATTGAAGAATGTTAAGAATCAAACTGCAGATGAGAATAAAACCCTGTGTTTTATCTGGCCCATATGCACGTGGTGTAAATGCTCTGTGAGACTGTTTTATAAAGCAGACTCACATTTAAATATTTAGAGAAAAGGAGTGATTCTCTTCTGATTACAATTTTTAGAGAGGGACTATGTATATAAATGTTGTACACAATCACATTTTTGGCACTAAAGCAAAACCAATTTGTCACTTAGCGACGATTGTTTCACACTTGTAAATGCAATTCAGAGTTCAGTCAGTTCTATCACAGCAGAGTGTGTTTATTCCTTTTCTCCTTTCTCCTGAAGTATTTGCCAGCTGCTCTCCGACACCAGAGCCCCAACCAGCTCTACACTTGGCTTCTCACAGCTAGTGAACGCAGAGATTCTTTTTCTTGTGGTGCCACCTAGAAGCAACCAGCGGCTACAGCAACGGTTTCACAGAGAGCCTGAGCGCCTTTGTTCAGCTTCTCCTTCCTGCCAGTTTTCTTTCGCATATAAAGTTCTTTCTATAGACCTCAAAAGCATCTGAAAACAGAATTAACGCACACATCAAAGGTGACTATAAACTTTTCCTTCCCTCGGGTGCATTCTGTACGAAAAGTTGTGCTTTGCTGGTGCAGGAACTACACCAACGCAGACAAACCTGTAGGGCAGAGAGAGACGCTGTTCGTGGCTGAAGAGGGAAAACTCCCTCCCACCAGCTCCCGACCCGCGAGAGCTGCCCCGGCACAGCTCGGCAGGGCACTCCGGAGGAATCCCCACCACGAGCCTGGGACACGAACAACAGCTCTCTCAGACGGCAGAAGAACAGCTCAGCAAACAAACCTCAACACAAGCAGCTTCTTTTAATATTACCTGCAGTCTTCACAAGGTCGTCCACTAACCCTTGGGAAAACTGTCTCATCCAAGAAAAAACAGGGGAAACCTCAAGATCTCAGCACTCAAGGAAGAGGCTGTATGTAGGGCCAGCATAAATTAGCAGAAGATTTTTACACACTAGCCTGGGCAACAGCATTCTCTGATTTACGGACAGCAGGACTGGTTCACAGGGAATTGTTGCTACAGTTAGCTGATCTTTGGAAAAACAACCACAATCTGTTTAATGCTCGCAGAGGTAAGAGCAAAAACCCACTTTGTGTAATGCTTGCATAGGTAGCAAAGTCTTATTTTTATCTGCAGGACAGACTGCAGCTTCCTTGGAGACTGATCTTCTAGATGGCTCATGGAAATAGCAGCAGAGCAGTGAGATCAGAAGAGCAGAACTGAGGTGAACGTTTGGAGAGGAGGCTGAACTGCAAATCCCTTAATTTGAACATTAGGTCTTCAGTTTGGAGTAGAAGATCTAGAGTAAATTTTTCAAATACTGACTTGAAAGAGTAATGAAAATTTACTTTTTCGTGAAAAGGCAAAACAAAAGGGAGCAAGCCCCAACTCAATCACAACATTTGGCTTTCAGTGAGTTTCCCATTGTTTACTTAATACTCCCACCAGGAAAACTGAAGCTCAGGGTGGATGAGTAACTTGCCCAAGGTCATATGATGAGTCAAACTACTCAAAATTTGGGAATGGATCCTCCTCCTTAATTCTAAATATTTAGGATTGAAAAAACACTCCCTGAAAACGTACATAAAATTAATAACTTCGTTTTGTACAATGAACATATTCTTCTTGTAATTAAAGTACATTTCTATATTAAAACAGGATTTGCCCATCCAGGTCACTCCTGTAATTAATGTAGACAACTCAAGGGAACTAGGATTTGGGGAGTGTTACAACTATAATTGCACACAGCTCTTCACAGGCTGCAAAACCCACTTCAGTTGATGGACAAATATTCCAGGAGTAAATCTGTCCTGAGGGCTTTGCTGCTGTACTACACCATTTGCAACACATGCAGCTAACCAGCCTAAGATTACATGTTTATAAGCTACATTCACTAGAGTCCAGAAAAAATTACAGACCCCTAGTATCCAGCACAGGCTCTTTCCATCAATAAAAACATGTAGGAGCTTTCATATCTCTGTGGGTTTTAACAGTCATAACACTCAGATATCTGATTCTTGGAGACATTTTGACTTTAGTTGCTCGAGACAAATTCCTCCTTTCACCTAAAACGACACCCCTTTGACAAAATAACAGACATTAAGTTCTTCCCTAGTTTGTCTGTGTCTATCCAAATAATCTGGTTTGGGGGGGAACAAGGTGCATGTGAGATACAAGTCAGACTGCAAGCTATCTACATATCAAGCTGTTCCAACAAAGTTCTCAAGGCAAGAAAAACCTGTTCTCTTCTGCCAAAACTCAGAGGCAAAAAAACCCAACATACTGCTGAAGTAAAGCACAGCTTTCTACTTACTAAGAAAATCCCTTTAGCTTCAATTTTCTTGTGCACTACTATTCTGGATGGAGCAGTGGTTCTCTGATAGGCTGTCCGTGGTCTCCTCAGTAGAATCGATCAATTTTGTTTACAACACTGAGCTAATCATTGCCACTGTCACAAGATGGCATACAGAAATGTATTCCCATTTTCTCAGCCTACTTATTTCCCAACAAAACACAAACTTCCAAGATCATTGCTATCTAGCTTTGCCTAAAAATATTACCCCAAAAGCATTTATCCAAAGTATTTCCACCAACAGAGGAACAGTGCAAAGCAAGGGTTGGAAGCAGCCTCAGTCCTTTGGCCCAGGAAGGGACACAGAGTTTGTCAAAGAGCCACGGAGGGGCCACAGGCTGCACCTCCTCCACGTCACATCACCTGAGCTGCATTTTATTCATGTGAGCAAAACAGACAGCCCTCAACATAGTCATAAACACACTCACTTGGCAGGAGCACACATGCCTGACTGTGGATTCCTCACGCAAGGAACAAACTGACAAAGCCCAGGTGCCATCTCTGAGAACTGATGGTACCAACAGCAGCCTCTGACCACGTAACTCACAGTACACACACACTAGGACACAGGCCCAAGCTGCCTGACAGATGTGTGCCCAGTGAAATGCCAAGGATTCCATCAGAAAAGGGACAGCACACAAATAATTTTGGTAAGCCATGCTCAATCTCAGTCTCAAACCCATCGGTTTTACCACAATGATGCTCGGCCATACTGAGGGGCAAGATGAATGACCCCGTAAAGGCTGTCCAAAAACTACTG